CACACACACACACACACACACACACACACACACACACACGTTTGTTCTTGAACCTCGTGGGGACTTTTCATTGACATCCATTCATTTCCTTTAGACTTTATAGCCTAACCCTGACCATTTACCCAAAAATGAACCTCACAGGTACCTACCAGACCCTAACCTAAATTCTCCTAAATCTAACCCCACACCCGTAATTTGCATTTGGACCCGTGGGGACCTGGCATTGGTCCTCACGAGGTTGCTTTCAGTGGGAAAAATTTCCCCATGTTGTAGGACCCCCCCCCACCCCAACACACACACACTAATAACCTTGAACAAAGGAGTCTTTAATAAATTCCTGTGAAGGCTGGCATGAAGGAATTAAAGCCTGCCTTTCTTTCACTGACCAAGGTTAAAATCTAAACAGCACCGGCCCAAATGTTCCCTCACTCACAAACACACACAGTGATCGGGTTATGTTGGGATGCAGATGGAAAGTGAGAAAGAGAGCAAGAGATGTGCCACTAGAAGGTCAGAGAAGTCACTGCTGAGATACACTTACAGCAACTCTGAACATCCTGTCAATAAATAAATCAAATCAGTTCAAGCTGCGCTGACTGACATTACATTTAACTTCAGCAAGGCTTTTCAGTGATCTGAGTGGTCTTGTGCCTCTTTCTGAGTGCCCCTGAGTTGTTGGTTTTGTTTTTTGGCATGACGTCAAACCTGCTACACCAACATGGAAAGAATCCTGTCTGTGTGTGCGCGTCTCTGTGTGTGTGCTTTCTCTGCATTAAAAGCGGTGTCCATTTCTGCCACTCTCACAGTTCACTAAGGCTCAGTGAAGCCAAACAGAAGAGCATCCGACCAAGGACAGCCAAGGACGACAGCAGCTTGTGACGAGACCGAACCACGATGAGTGACGAGAACACAAAGTGAGCTGAACCATCAACATGCATCGCTGGTTTTTTTGCAAATACCTGCCAAACATCGGTTTGTTTGCTTTTGCGTGTAGCTACGTGCAAGTGCTTTGTTAGGATGACTCATGCCTGCAACAGCAAATCAAAAATACTTTTTGAATAAGCAAATAATTAAAATGAAAATATAAAGTCTCACAAATAAACACTAAAAAAAAGCAATGGAGTATGGTATCTAAATTTAAATAAATAATTTCATAGAGAGTCTTGATAATAAGCGGTACAGAACATTTACCATGATATTGGGACTCTGGGTTGCTTCATACCCTCACATTACCACTTTATATCCACGTACTATTTGGTACATCTGCACTAACGTTTTCAGCACTAACCTTAACTAAGACAAAACCCTTAAAACTCCTTAAAGGCCCCGTCATACCAAAACGTTTTAACTTATACTGATGTGTGTGCTACACAACTTCCTGTCTGGTTTCTGACATGTCAATGTACATGATGCATACCCGTAACTCATGCCTAACCTATGAGTAACACGCTGGCATATGCCATCATATATCAGCATTTTGGTAACTTATTCCAAACGTGTTCGCCATTTTTTCCAGAAGTTGACGTTTGTTGTCTAAAGGCCTTGTCACACTATAGTTTTAGACAACTTATGCCAACTTATGAATATTCTGTTATGAATAAAGCACTCATTTATTCGATTGTTAGTGTCACAATATGTTTACGTCCAAAACAGGCTTCCAGTAGAATTTTTCGATTCAATTTTCAGCGTAGACGTCTGCAGTGTTGGACAACATTTTCATAAGTTGACATAAGTTGTGACAGGGCCTTAAAATGAATGCTGTTTGATCTCTACTGTATTTATTCTATTTCCTAATCATCACTAAATGTATTGTGCCTAACCACTGATTGTCGCTCTATCCAAATTAGACTACACATAACTTTACATCATCAGCTGCCAAGTTGGGTATAAGAAACACATGATGGGTGGTTCTATTGTGTTTCCACAAAGGTCGGGGCTGAAGTTACTGTGTTGAAGAGCACATTTCTAGTGTCACTTTAAGTTTTTGGTACTATGCAAGTTGGACTTTGAGCTTTACATCATGTATAATGTCCTTCCCTTATCAAAAACATACCCAAAGTGTTGCTTTGACTTATGTATGCATGTTTGAGAAATCCTTGAATCTCCTATGTGCCTGGAAAACACACAATACCACCCCTTTAAATAATGTTTCTAAATTCTAGTCTTCTATAAGTGCAATCACTGATAAAAAATAAATWAAAAAAACAAGCCTGTGTTGTGTGTGAGTGACTGCTTTAGTATCCAAGGATCAGAACTGTGCAGACAGTTCTTCACTGAGCACATATCTCTGCTGCACCCTTCAAGGAAATCCCCAAGCCACAAACCAATATTGACACACCAGTAAACTGCAGGCAAATGTAAGACAGAAGCAAATAATGCCTGTGCTGACTCCACACACAAACAGACTCTTGGTATAGAAGAGCATGGGAGAGTGCGTCACAAGATTTTTATTTTGAAAGCCGGGGAAGGAGCATTTCAAAATAAAAAGATGTGCTTGGTGTCAAAGGGTCACCATGAAACACCAAGGACCTCCCCACACACTGACACTTCCTTCAAGAAAAACACTTAAATCACAAACTTCCTTATTTTCTTTTGTTTAGATACGATTTCAAAAAGTAGCGTAAATGTAATTTAACACAAACCTATGTGACAACAGAAGAAAATGACAAACTCAGGATGACTAAACGCAGATTTTTGAGCTAAAGCCTGAGCAAAGGATCTTTGATATCTCACCGTGATGAACTTTGACCTCTGAACAATATAATTTGATCCCAGTCCAAATTAAAACACAAGYTCTGCTGCTCATCTGTGGAAGCCCGTCTGAACGTCAATTCATTTCACATMAACAGCCTGTATACTGTATATTCGCATGAGACTGATTGAGAGTGAATACTAAATTACATTTGTTTGAAATAAATATTTGCACAAGGTGCTGAGTCTGAAGATGGGCAACCTGCAGAACTTGTCTGAGCTGTTTAGTCTGATTGTGTGAGGGTTTACCAAGAAACCACTGAACATAATAAGAAAAAATCACATCTTTTTCACCTGCCATGAACAAAACACCCTTCGTGAAGGTAGGTCACGATGTAGGCTAGGGCTGCCACAAACGATTATTTTAATAATTGATTAATCACCGATTATTTATTTGATTAGTCGACTAATCGAATCATACATTAATTGATTATAAAACATACAGCTTAACATGTCAGAATGCAGCTGCTATTATATAACCATGGTTAGATTTTAGCTATATGCTAACTAAAAATAATTGCTGTGGAAGGAGAGTTCTGCTCTGCAGATATTACACAGGTTTCTCTTTCATTTTCTTAAAATGATCCCACACTTTTGAGCTCCGTTGTCAGGTAGCCATGATACCAGAGCC